AAATATGGATGGAGGACAACAGAGCTGCTTCAAGGAAGAACAACCTCAGCTTAGCCTGTTAGCTTTAGTGTTAGCGCCAACGCTATATTGTCTTATATGCATTAAGTAAGACAAGCTAATCTGTTCTCCTCCATCCATATTTTCAGTTCCAGGCTGAGTCATTTCTACCTTCTCCTCTCTGTCAACGCTCTCTGGTTTCATTTAAAAGAGTCGATCGTCAGATATTGTCCAAGATTAACCTTCAGGGTGGATATAGCTCGCTAGCAGCCTCGTGCGGATGACCTAGTTGGTGTCATCAATTTCCCAGAATGTTTTGCATGTAAATAAAATGGCCCTGTCCGTGTAATATATTTATAAACTTTTAGTTTAAAAATTATAAGAACTGAACATCCTACAGTATTTTTACAGTCTTTATTTTACAGTTAAAGTATATGTTGATCATATAAAGTCTAATGTTACAGCTAATCGGTGATCCCTTTAAGATGGGCACATGTTGTGGTTACATCTCTCATGCTTTAAATTTAAGTCTAATGTTTTTCATCTCTATAACTTTCGTGTTCCAGCCCTTTATGCCCCTGGTAAACCTGCTCTGCTCTCCGGACGTCCACCACTTCCTGTGCCAAGCCTTTATTCCAGCATGTACTGAGGAGAACAGAGTGATCCGCCCCTGCAGGGAAAAATGCGAGGTGGTTCTGTCTGACTGCAAGGGGGATATTCGCACTTTTGGTGTCACCTGGCCTCCCGAGTTACAATGTGACAAGTAAGAAAACATACAGTAAGTCCATTACAGACCTTTATGGATCAGTCTGTAATACTGTAGCTGTTTTTTTTTTCTTCCAGATTGGACCCATGTGAGTTGCATGGTTCTGCGCTTCCTTCAACCACCCCGTTGACCCACTCGGCACCTAAAAGGGACCTTGGTTTCTGGTGCCCTCTTCAGTTAAAGACCAATCCAGGTCATGGCTCATTGTTCCTGGGTGCCCAGGACTGCGCTCCCCCCTGTTCCAACATGTACTTCAAACCCCACGACATTGAATTTGCCAAGAGCTTCATCGGGGTGTGTTCCATCATTTGCCTGGGTGCCACACTCTTCACGTTCCTCACTTTCCTCATTGACGTGAAGCGCTTCAGATACCCAGAGCGTCCCATAATCTTCTACGCCGTCTGCTACAGCTTTGTCTCGCTCATATACTTTATCGGTTTCTTGCTGGGGAACCGTGCCGCCTGCACCAGAGCATCTCACCCTGCAGGTGTGGACACCGTGGTGCTGGGCTCTCACAGCAAAGGCTGCACTCTGCTCTTTATGCTCCTCTACTTCTTCTCTATGGCGGGGATCGTCTGGTGGGTCATACTCACCATCACCTGGTTTCTGGCAGCTGGACCCAAGTGGAGCTGTGAGGCCATTGAGAAGAAGGCGGTATGGTTCTTTAAAAAATATCTGGGTATCAATTAGGGTTGGGCAATAATGGCAAAAAACATTAATCACGATTAATTGTAGTATTTAGCCGATGGCGATTAATTTGACGATTAATCTTTTGGAGTCCCTGGACACCCTTATGTCCTAGTCACATGACCAATTTAGTGGGAAAGATTTGCGTTTCGGAAAAATCAAATTGTGTCAGAATTACAGACTTCAGGCTATACATCAAAATATAAATAGTGTTGATGGATAAATAAATTACAGAACTTTTTTTAATATTTGTAATATTTAAAGCAGAGAGGAGCACCGAGCAGACTGACTGAAGAAATCTCCAGTCTGCCTGCCTGCTGGCATTAATCGTATTAATTGTCAAGTGCCAAAAAATAATTGATTAATATTTTTCTGATGATTAACTGCACACGATACGATTAATGCTGCGTTCACACCAAATGCGATTTCAGCAACAGGAGCATCAGGTTTACATGCAAAGTCTATGGTGGACGCACTTCAATCAGCGTCGGGAAGTTCTGCGGCGCCTCAAGCGCAATTAGAGCAGTGCGATTTGAACGAGCTGAGCGTTCGACGAGCTTGATGCGCAAATCGCTGAAGTTAGGAAATCTGAACTTTTGCAGCCCGACGCGCCGCATCAACCAATCAGAGAGACTCCACTGTGTGACGTAGTGACATATTTCCTGACGGGACAGTTTGGTGAATGATGTCTACTAACCTGAAACAGATGGAGAGGAGCTCTTTAGCTGAAATCGAGTGCCTGCAGTCGGTGTCCTGACAGGAGATATCCGCTCCAAGCGGCTCTTCAGACTGGACTCGGGACAAAAATAGTCCTGAAAGCGAGCTATGAGCCTCTCCAGCAGCTCCTGGGTGATGAAACTCCGAATGTCTCTGAATTATCTGGTGAAATAATTATGAATTAATTATCTGATGAACGTGACAYGCTCTTGCTCTCTGTAAATAAAGCAAAGCCACTTCCTCGTCCGACATTAAACAGAGCCCGACAGAGGAGGGAGGGGCCGGGAGGCTCTTCCCGTGCAGCGCTTCAAGAGCTGACCTGCGTCTGACCTCAAAGTGCACAAGCGTCCAACTTGAAGCGTTGGATGCGATTTTGAAGCTGAAATCACGTTTGGTGTGAACGCAGCATAAGCCCAACATTAGTATCAATTAAGGGTGACCATCTTTAGGCACCTCACCGTTTGATACCAAGTCATTGAGCTGGGATTATTAAACAACTATCACTATATTTCAGTTTTTTTGAAACTTTAAGGAATCCTTTTTATTTTTTAAAGAGTGCACAGTAATATTTATGTAAAAGAAAAACTGTCAATCAGCAGCTTCGGACCAACAGTTGCTCAGATGCTAACGTAATATTGAATATGCCAAAGAACAGCGAATGAGATTAACATTGTGTTTATCACTGTTTACACAGATCAAATGTTTCAAATCTCCTCTGTTCTCAGGTGTGGTTCCACACTGCTGCCTGGGGAATTCCCGGAGCGTTAACGGTTATGCTGCTGGCCTTGAACAAGGTTGAAGGGGACAACATCAGTGGTGTTTGCTTTGTGGGGCTCTACGACCTGGACGCGCTGCGGTACTTCGTCATGGCCCCGCTGTGTGGGGGCGTTATTGTCGGCCTCTTCCTCATCTTGGCCGGCATCGTTTCTCTCAACCACGTCCGRCAGGTGATCCAGCACGACGAGCGCAACCAAGAGAAGCTGAAGAAGTTCATGATCCGCATCGGCGTTTTCAGCTGCCTCTACTTGGTCCCGCTGGTCACCCTGTTGGCCTGCTACACGTATGAACAAAGTCACCGCAGCACATGGGAGAATACGTGGATCCATGACCGCTGTCAGGAGTACAGTATCCCCTGCTCTTACAAGGTAGCTGTGGCTCATCACCTGTTCACACACCATGGCTCAAATCCTTTTAAAACTGTCCTGAGCTCAGAAAAATTAGATTAACTGGAGTTTGTACAGTTTAAATAAAAATAATACTGCAACRTACTCTATTAGCAAGTCTAAATCAACATTTAGGCAAAAAAAAAATTAAAGCCAAGACATAATTTGTTGAATTAAATGAGACTTTCTGATGCTTTAGCTGTTGAGCAGAACTTTGTGAAAATGAACTTATTCTGTGCTATTTACCATCTTTGTTTTCCTGTTTTGTTTTGTTTTTTTTCTCTGTAAATTTTTTGTGTTGTTGTAGTCAGTCATATATCTTTTAGGAATTTGCTTCAGCATACTTACTCTTTTTGTTTTCTTATATTACTTTTTAACCTTTTAGCTAGCCTATTGCTAACTTTAGCTTTGTTTTGCTACTTTTAGCTTTTAACTAGTRTTGTAYGTCTTTTAGCTTTTAGCAMATCGTTTTTAGCTTTTAGCTAGTGTTCTGCATTTGTTTTTAAGTTTTAACAACTSAGCAGTCATTCAGTTCAGTTTATTTATATAGCGCCAAGTCACAACCAATGTTATCTCAGGTCACTGTACACAAAAAACAATCAATYTTGCATTGGTTGCARTCTTGCACTTCATCACAGTCTCCCATCCTGARCARSACATTGGCTGCAGGTTAAAGGAAAAACTCCCTTTTAACAGGAAGAAACTATAGGTGCAATGATACAGAAAATTCATGATTTGGTTCAATTCTTGAGTCTCACATTTCAATATTTATTTGATACTAAAAAGAGAAATTTCCATGCCTTTCTTAACTTGTAATTTCTTGAAATTAATTATGAACGTTTGTTTTACATCAAAAGTACCGTTTTTAAATTAAATGTTGCTGAAACAGCAAGTTTCTTGGTGGATCTGTGCTCGACAATKCAGCCTAGGTGGAGTAGTCGAACACAGATCCACTGATCCTTCAACACAGAGCATCTTCAGAAGACGAGCTGATAAAATAAGTTTTAAAAATCTGTACTGTTTGGTACATAGTGTGTATTGAACCTAAAGCACTGTATTGAATGGTTCGATACAGAAACATGTATTGTTGCACCGTTAGAAGAAACCTCCAGCATAACCAGAACCAGAACCAGGCTCAGGACAAGTGGACATCTGCCTCGACCGGCTGGGTTTGGGGGACAGGATAGAGACTCAGATAAACACAGAAAGACTGGTCCAGGTGTATTTTCTTCTGGAAGAGAGACAAATAAAACACTTTATTGATTAGAAATAAATATAACAAACATGACGAGGAGAGAGACTAAAGACAACAGCAGAGTGAAGAAATATGCTCAGTTTGTGTTCCAGCAGTCTTAAGTCTATAGCTGCAGAACAAAGAAATAACTCAGGAAACCAAAGTCTAACTATGATTTATCAAAAAGGAAAGTCTTCAGTCTAATCTTAAAAGTAGACAGAGTGTCAGCCTCACGGACAGAAACTGGAAGTTGATTCCATAAGAGAGGAGCTTGATAACTGAAAGCCATATAAAATCAAATTTTTTGAGTTTTATAT